CCTTTTTGCTCTTTTTGCTGAAAATTGACCATATGGCCCCCGTCACCAGCTGCGCGCACATGGTGCTGACGGTGGTAGCCACGAGGTGGCGCACCGTCGCGTCCATCCGCAGCCCCATGGACCACATGGCCCACACGACGGGCACTCCGAGGAGGGCCACGACCGGCTTAGCCCCCCGGCCCGCGCTCCTAGTTAGCCTCCCGAGATAGGCCTTGGCGATCCAGAGGGCCATCGCGATGATGACGCCCTGGTATAGCCTTCTCTCGAGGGTGTTGGTAACCAGACCCATCCACGCATGGATGGATCCAGCAGCTGTCGCCATGTAATTTGAGATTATTACAAACTCTCGCATCGTCTACGGTTACTCCTACTATTTTTCTAAAAATCCCTCTTTTCCCCAAAAACCCCCATCCTAACTACCGACAATAACCCTGATGCCGACCATGCGAACCCGGCCCCGGGGCGGCACCTTAATTAACTGCCATTTCCCGGGGTTTCCGCGTCGTGCCTGTGGGCGCCTGGTTCTTACCTTCCATTTTTGTCATCCTTCATATTAGCAGGTACGTGCAGTCGGTGATAGCGGACGCGATTGAGCGTCGATTGAAGAAGACCGGGCGCACGGAGGCGAACGAGTGTGGCAGGAGGTGTTTCGAGGACAGCGCGCGGCTCTCCAGGCGGCGGACACGGGAGCAGGGTAACGTTTAGTCGTCGGGTGGCTGAGTCGGGGTTGGAGGAGTTGTTACCGACGCTGCCGGAGGCCTGGCATAAGCAGGTGCGACATGCAGCAGAGTCGGAAACGGAGTCGGAAACGGAGTATGAGCCCACGTGGGGAGCGGAGTCGGAAAAGGAGTCCGAGCCCTCGTGGGGGGCGTCGTGTCTCGATTTGATGGACGAGTACCTGCCTCATTTATGCACAGCGATGTTGTGCGGGGCTGTCTTCAGCTGGTTGGCATGGGACGGTATTAGGACGAAGTTGCCACGAATAATTTCAAGGACGCAGCTGGAGGGATTAGAAATGAACAGCAACGAAATGAAGAACCACGAGCCGCACATTATCGAGTGGAGAAGGAACCAGCGGTCGTGGAAAGACGGTGCGAGTGGTGTGCTGTCGGTGCCGAGAAAGCGTCACGGGATCGTTCAGAAGTGCTTCCGCTTTGGCGCGCCCGATGCCTTCGATATTTACGCCGTGAGGGAAGCTGCTTACCGTTACGTCTCAAAGACTGCCCGTAGCGGCCAGGTCACCTGCTTCTCACCAGCCGAGACACAACGTGAACTTGTTGACCGTGTCGCTCGCGAACTGGACGTAACTCTCGGCGACCTGAAGAGTTTCCGATCGGCTGCCCGCCTTGATCCAGGTGCCCGCCTTGATCCAGGTGCCCGCCTTGATCCAGGCGCCCGCCTTGATCCAGGCGCCCGTTGACGGGGTACTTGGTGATCAGGTCTACGCCGTGCCCCGCTGGCCCGCTTAACGTCGCCTGGATACCCGTGGACTCGATGGCGGGGGCCATGATCGCGGTGGACTCGGTGTTGGCGGCGCACGCTTGCTTCGCGCGACTAGACTGCCTCTACAAGCTGGTTCCCGACGACACAACCGGGCCTCACCCTGTTCACCTAACCGCACGTGGGAAGACTTTAAAGACCACGCCACCGTCTTTAACCGACCCCACTACGTCGTCGACAGCTGCGAAGCCGTCTGCCTCACACACGTCCAGCACGAGTGACAACAATGAACCATCCACAATATGTTTTAATGACACCTACTTCTCAAGACGTAGTGACTGATCAAACACAGGTGAGGCGCACACGGGTTTGTGATGGTCAAGTCGGGCAGCTAAGTGAACGAATTAAGTTGTGTCGGTAGTGTCTGTGTCGGTAGTGTCTGTGTCGGTAGTGTCTGTGTCGGTAGTGTCTGTGTCGGTGGTGTCTGTGTCGGTGGTGTCTGTGTCGGTAGTGTCTGTGTCGGTAGTGTCTGCGTCCAGGCTTCTGCACAACCTATTGTTGTCGCTCCTGTTATCCGCGTCTGCCATAGACCCGGGCATCCGGGGTCCAGACCACCACTGCGGATGTCAAACTCACGTACGGGGACCGAGACCCGAGCGAGCGGACGAGTGAGCGGAGTTCCGGACTGGTCGTCTCGAGGCGAGTCTTTGGGCGGTGTGGCGCTCCGTCCTTGCTCCCGTCGAGGTGTGCCCGGGTCTATGGTGAAACTACGGAAGAAGTGTGGTGTCGGGCCGAGAGCAAGGTACTACGGACGGATCGAGGGCACTCGAGTGAGCGTATGACAATATTCTCAACCCACGGAGTGCGCGGGGAGCGTATGTTGTCAAGAGACAGAGTAAGTCGGTGGCTAGTTGCAAAGGGTGTAACTGACTGGGCGTTGAAGTGCAGGGCCGTTGTCGTTGGCGGGAGAGCCGTGCGAGCCTTGAGTACGTGAAGGAAGTAAGCCCCAGCCCCAGCTGTGGAGTGGACACTCTCGCGGTACTTGTCGTGGTTGGGAATATCGAGTACGTTGGGATTCGGGACTGATCTTGGCGCCGCGCGTAGGCTGTATGGAGCTGCGCGTAACACTTCAGTGTGCTGCGATACCGTGGTAGTGATGCAGGCAGACGAGGGACGCGGATAACGGGAGTGGTCAGGTTGACGCCGGGCCCCGGACGAGTATAGTTATAGCAGCGACCCGACAGGGCCTGTCGCACCCACCAGGCCGCACCACTGGTTGCGGTGGTCAATCTGGACGGCCGCCGGCCGCTGATGAGCAAGTGTGATGCGTCTCCCATCTCCACAATGACCTCCGAAGTGTTGCCCCCAAAGTATTGGCGTCCCTACCGGATTCACGTGCAAACTCCCATGCCGTTGCCGATGAAGATTTGATCCTTGGAAGACGATTGGACTGTCCAAATGGGGCCTGTACTGGAATGTACCCTTTTTCGACGAGTGCCGTTAAAGGCTGACTCTCCTCCTCCAAGAACACGTTGAAGAACCCTTGGTTACAATACTTATGTCCTGCGGCCTGCTGTACCTGTTCCCACAAGCTGGGGATTGGGTATACGTCTGGGGTCATCCATTTGTTGACGTCTATGTAGTTTATGCAGCATTTACTGTGCTTGGCCAGGTCCATAGGCGTGTGAACGTTGCCTCGTCCAGGTGGTGCATATGCCAGTGACCAACTTTCTGCGACGAGTTCTGCATCTGTTTTGCTACAAAAGTCGGGATGAACATGGGTCCGGATGAACATGGGTTCAAGCAAGTCCGTGCAGTCGGTTATAGCGAACGTAATTACGTTGGTTGGAAGAGTGTGTGAGTGGCACTGGCTACAGAGTTGTGGGGTGGTCGTCAAGTAGGCAACCGATGGCGAGGAAGGACCGGCGAATAAGAAGTGTGTTTTGGTAGTCGCGGCTGACGGTATGATCCTGGATCTGGAAGTTTTGATTGTAATTTTTTTTTTTTTTGGATGCGGACAATTTCGTGTTTAGGATCGAATGAGGTAAGCCTGGGCTTGCTGGTTGCAGTGGTCAACCCGGATGGCAGCCGCCCGGGAATGAGCGACTGTGTGCCGTGGGTGATTGACTTGAGTGTGCCGGGTGAGCGCGCGTGTTCGGCGGTGGTTTTGGTGCCTCAACAGCACTCGTGGAAGTTGGAGATGGGCCAGCACAACGAGTTTGACTGGCTGAACGACGTGAGTCGTATGCGTGTGTACGACACGCCGCGGCAGTGGGGATCCCAGACGCCATGGCAGTCGCCGGAGGTTGTGTCGACCGTGCTGGAAATTGACTCGGAGACAGGGGCAGCAGAGACCGGATCACCGGAGACTGCGCCCGAGACAGAGGACCCTCTGATGGGTTTGAAAAAGGGGTTTAAGATGGGTCGGAAGATGGGTTCGAGCAAGTTCGTGCAGTCGACCATAGTGACTGCTATTGAACGTCGGTTGCAGGAGACGGGGTGTATGACAGAGAGTACTAAGGCGGACAAGGTGTGGCTGGAGGTGTTCGGGCGAGGACGGGCGGCGCTGCAATTGGTTGACACGGGAGCAGCCGTTGCAGAGATAGTTTTCAGTCGCCGAGTGAAGGCGACGGAGTTGAAAGAATTGTTACCGACGCTGCCAAAGGACTGGCATGACTCAGTACGCACGGGAGCGCAGGTGGCAGAGCCGCTGGCACAGGCGGCACAGCCGCTGGCACAGCCGCTGGCACAGCGGTGGCCGGTGCTGTCGCCCAGAAGGCCGAGAGAGGTGGTGTATTCGCGGCGTTGGGACGAGCCGGAATGTTCATGTTCGAAAGTGTTCCCAAAACTGTTGTTCATGGCAGTGGTAACGGGGCTGGTAGTCGCGGCGGCGGTGTACGAAAAGCCCGCGCCGCCGAGACAGTTGGTTTCGTGGAGTCAGTTGCAGGCGCTCGCGACGAATTGTACGGCGGTGGCGAGTCGCGATGTCGAGCGCGTTGCGTTTTTGACACGAGGTAGGGGGTGGGAGGATCCATGCGAGGGTGCGAGTGGTATGCTCACACTTACCAGAGGCCTGCCCAGACCTCACATCAGGGGCTTTCAGTCGTGCTATCGTTTCGGTGCACCCGACAGCTTCGACCTACAGGGCGTGCTCGAGTCCGCCCGGTTCCACCTTTCGGGGATCGTGACCGCAGGACAGGTGACATGCTTCACGGCCGCGGATACGCAGCGGGCACTTGCCGACAGGATTGCTCGAGAACTGAACGTGACCGCCATCGAAATGCCCTTAAACGACAGCGAGCAAATGGCCGAGCATCCTGCAGGTGGGATGACCGAGCGTCCTGGACATGGGATGCCGGGCGTGGGAGTGGACCCGATGGGAGTAGACTTGCTCGCTAACTACCCCGTCAACGAAGCCTGCAGCACTTCCTGCACCGGTAACTGTAACGCAACACTTCACGACCTAAACGACTGCTTCTGCGACTTCGCGAAACTCGACTGTCTCTACAACTACGGAACTCGTGATGAGCAGGCTCACCATGTCGGGCTGGCTGCCTTCAAGTCCACATGGGGACACTTCAAGAAACACGTCACCGTCTTCAACCGACCTGGCTATGTTGTGGACAGCTGCGAAGCCGTCTGTCACAAGACCAACCACATCGAGCTCGACGAAGACACCCACCGAGGCTGACCGTCCCTGCCCACGACCCGGTCACGAGTCAACTGCGGATGTTTTTGTGTTCGACACGCCACGTCAGGGATGCCATGGCTGTCGCCGGAGGCTGTGTCGACCGCTATTATAGCTTGTAAAAAAAAACTGGTTGTTGACCAAACAGTCTGCCGTGTGGACCACCTCCACCTCGGACCACTTCCCCGCAGCGGCTAGTTTTTCTGCTCGCAATTTTCGCGGCTCATTGCGTGATTGGTCATGCCGTGCTATTGGCTAGCTACGCGTTAGTGTTGTCCTTTTACCTTCGTGGAGAACGCCTTGTTTGGACCGCTACTGTGTCGCCCCTTGACTACCTCGCACTGGCGTTCCGTGACACTGGCATGGCATGGGCGCTGGCATGGCATGGGCGCTGGCATGGCGTGGGCGCTGGCATGGCATGGGCG